TATTACACTTAGTGGTAATATATATTATGTAAACCTTAAGGCTGATGTCAGACGGGCGACTTGCAAGTGATCCTGCCACTTATGATTTGGGAAAATCGCCATCAGCAGGGTTGCTCAGAGGCGGGCTCTCCCTGAGGTATCACTCCCATCACTAAGGATCCATATTCACACCTGAGACAGGGGGATCTGGCTACAGAGGGAGCCATTCCATCGGGGCAGACAGGCACTCCGCCGCTGGTGATGTGTATTTAGCGGCAGAATCGCCATCTGACATAAACCTAAATGAATGACTTAGTTGGCTAAGTACGGAGTATCAATAATAATAAAATGATACTGTTGCAGTATATTGTGATATTAGTATATCAGGAGTTTATTGAAGCAGCTTTGTAAAGGTAATGACAGGTCCACTTTAACCATGTCATCTGTCCCCGGTAATGAGTGGATGTAGCCCGGTGATGGAAGCCAATAGACTGATCGTTTTGGATCTCAGGTGATGGAAGCCAATAGACTGATCGTTTTGGATCTCAGGTGATGGAAGCCAATAGACTGATTGCTCCGGATCTCAGGTGATGGAAGCCAATAGACTGATTGCTCCGGATCTCAGGTGATGGAAGTCAGGGGACTGATTACTCTGATTGTTCCTGGACGGCCCCAGATCAGCCAGAGCTGCAGGAACGTGATGAAGTATCTAGAAATGTCTCCATCTACACGCCAGAGACGACTGCACTCCGCAGTCCACGCTCTCTGCAAGGTAAGACATTCGCTGTGCCAGACGCTGCCAATAGTCTACTATGTGACCGTGTAATCTGTTACCTGTCCTTATACTGCAAACCAGCCGCTGATACAATACTAGATTCCTATTCCAGGGATCTCAACCTGAAAAAAGCAATTTCATGGTGGTGCCCTCTGCCCCCCCTCATCTGCGGGGGGGGGAGCACCCCCCTGATATGATGGCAGATAGCACGGGAAGCAATAGCTTCTTTGCTATCTGCTGGTTTTTGTTTTTTGTTAGTCTTCTGACAGCTGCTGCCGTCAGAACAATAATAAAAAAAAAACAAAACCAGCATAGGAATGCATAGCTGGATTCCTATTGGCTATTTCAATTTGCAATATTCAATAGCAAGCTGGCTATTTCACCCGCCCTCTGCTGCTGTCAATCACTAGACAAGGACCTGATGGAGAACTTCATGGTCCCCTCTGCTGATTGACAGCATCAGTGGGCGGGTGCAATATCTAGTCTGCTATTGGCTATTGCAAAGTGAAATAGCCAATAGCAATCTAGCTATGCATTTCTATGCTGTTTTTTTTTTCTCTGACTGATGGCGGCCGTCGACCCCGATGTCAGAAAAAAACAAAAAACATATTGCAGGGAAAGTTTTTTACTCTGCTAGATCGAGCAGAGTAAACCTTTCCGGGAGAAAATGTTAATGTTTGAGCCACTATCTTACAGTGGGAGACTCCCGGAGCGTCTGGGAGAGTTGGGATGTCTGCTATTCCAACCCCAGGCTGTACTGTTGGAGGGTCACGTACACTGGCACCATATGGGCTATAAAGTCAATGTTTGTGTTCTGGAATCTTCCGCAGAGAACACTTAGAGACCCCGGCATTCTTCACTGAGGTCAGGATTTGCATGGCAGGGACCCCCCTGGGGGACTCAATCAGATATATAAAGCAGCATCCAGATTTATAACTTTTATGTCCGTCCTCGGATCCGCAACCGCATCCGAGAGAGCATGCTTGATCTCACTCACCACAGATTTGAGGTCCGCTCGTTGTGGCAGTTTGTTAATGTAAGAGGGTACATCATCCGCTGACGAGGGATGGCGGCCTTCCTGCTCCGACGCCTCGTGTTCAGGCATAGAGTTGGTGTTCCGCGGGTCAGGGTGTTGGGCCTGGAACATTGTTGGGATCGAGTTGTAGCCCTGGGAGCCTGTGTCACGTTCAAAAGGAAGCTGGCGACCAATTTTCCCCATCTCAGCTAATTATCCGTGCAAATTTCTCCCGTCAGCTCTGGAGCTCTTTCAATGTGCATCCATCTCGTGTCCGCGTCAAGCCACGCCCCAGATTTATAACTTTACTCCCAGCAGATCTGGGAGGTTTTGTCCTCATTATCCCTGTGGAAGTATTGTATACTTTGTATGCTGCTACTCCTGTCACTATTCTTCTGGCTGTGGGAGAAGCAGGTTTAGATACATTTGGTTTTATTTTGGGGGTTTCATTTTTACTAACATTAATATAAATTATAGAGAGGGGGATTTTCTAAGACTGGAGCTGACAAAAATCTGGAGCATCTCTGCATGGCAACCAATCAGATCGTAGCTTTCATTTTCAAAGCTTAACTCAACAAGCTGAAGAGAGAAGCTGATTGGTTACTATGCGCAGCTTCTCCACATTCTGTCTCATCCAGTTTTAGTAAATACCCCCCAGAGGATTCATAACCCTGTTATACTGTATATGAGATGTGTATGTAGGGGTTTGTCAGGTCATTCTATATACATGACATACTGTACAGAATAGACACTTTCTCTTTCTGAGATGTATATGGAGGTTTATCAATTCATTCTGAATGTACATTTTCATGTTTTGTCTGCTATTGTTACTATTGTGGGAGTATTTATTCTATTAGAATTGTCTTGTTACATTTGAGTTGTCGTTCTTTTTTTTTTTTTTGTAACCGAACCAGATTACCTGCATTCTCAGTGATGTCACCGGTCTCTAGTGAATGGATAGGCTGCATTCTCAGTGATGTCACCGGTCTCTAGTGAATGGATAGGTTGCATTCTCAGTGATGTCACCGGTCTCTAGTGACTGGATAGGCTGCATTCTCAGTGATGTCACCGGTTGCCTCTTTGCCTGGCAACCAATCAGATCGTAGCTTTCATTTTCAAAGCTTAACTCAACAAGCTGAAGAGAGAAGCTGATTGGTTACTATGCGCAGCTTCTCCACATTCTGTCTCATCCAGTTTTAGTAAATACCCCCCAGAGGATTCATAACCCTGTTATACTGTATATGAGATGTGTATGTAGGGGTTTGTCAGGTCATTCTATATACATGACATACTGTACAGAATAGACACTTTCTCTTTCTGAGATGTATATGGAGGTTTATCAATTCATTCTGAATGTACATTTTCATGTTTTGTCTGCTATTGTTACTATTGTGGGAGTATTTATTCTATTAGAATTGTCTTGTTACATTTGAGTTGTCGTTCTTTTTTTTTTTTTTGTAACCGAACCAGATTAGCTGCATTCTCAGTGATGTCACCGGTCTCTAGTGAATGGATAGGCTGCATTCTCAGTGATGTCACCGGTCTCTAGTGAACGGATAGGCTGCATTCTCAGTGATGTGACCGGTCTCTAGTGATTGGATAGGCTGCATTCTCAGTGATGTCACCGGTCTCTAGTGAACGGATAGGCTGCATTCCCAGTGATGTCACCGGTCTCCAGTGATTGGCTAGGTTAATAACTCTTCCTGTCAGTATTATTACTTGTTATTTCGTGTTGGTTGCAGTCGACATTCATATGTAATGATTATAATCTTATGGAGAATTCTCTTCCAATGTTTATGGAGAACGTCGCTCGATATCGTTTTCCGCGTTACAAAGTTGACATTGATTGATACATCTCTCTCGTCCTTTCCTGAACGTTCAGAAGGATTCCTCCTCAGATAAATAATCGATAGGTCATTTCTTCCCTGCGTCTGCCTTTTTCATGTGCGTTCCCCTCCAGGCTTTGCATGTGTCACCAGTCTTGGGGATATGTGTATTTAGACTTTTCCTCATCTTCAATCAGAACAGAAGGGAAACGACTTCTTATGAAACGCATCAGCAAAATCTCTTCGTGCTGAGCGCAGAGCAGAGGCACTTCTAAGAGGCCCCGGAGCACAGACAGAAATTTCAATTGCTCCTTTCTTCAAAACCTTTTTATTGAACCGGCTGAAGACGAGGAAAGAAAGACGGAGAGGTTGTGTTTGAAATCATCTTTAATTAACATTTTTAAAGGATAGCCGGAGACTTGAGGAACTTTCTGGGAGTTCGGAGAACTTTGGTCAAGAGAACCTGTCGCAGGTATTTTATATGGGCCCAATGAAAGTTTAAGTCGCTTTTGTGATTTGTACAGCTGGAAGGGTGACACCGTATTCGGTCAGAAACAGAGTGGTGTCACCTCATTAACTACAGCATGCTGATTAGACAATGAAGGGGTGGCAACTCACTGTAAGATCATCAACCCTGCCCGCTCTGTTCTGTCTTCCCTTATGTGCAGGTGGCAGAGTCGCATTGGATTCCAGCTCTGTTCTCGCAGGGGCTGATGTCAAGACAGATTCAGGTACTCGTACTAGCTGCATGTAAAATGCATTTTCTCTTAAAGGTATACAACTGCATTAAATTGCTTAAAAGAGATGCTGTCTCGGTGCCCAATCAGGTCAAGGTGACAGTATTAGTGCAAAGTTTATGGTGTTTATTCTACAATACAGTTTCTGGTCTTTGGACCCTCATCTTACGGCGACAGGGGTGGGAAATTCCGGCCGTCCGGCTGTGCTTTGACTGCAAATCCCATCATGCATCTGCCTCTGGGAGTCATACCTGTGGCTGTCAGTGTTGCAATGCCTCATGGGACTTGTAGTTCCACAACAGCTGGAGGGTCGGAGTTGCCCACCCCTCTAGTAAGGGTAATTATTTGCAAGTCTCTGGTGACCTTTTCAGATCACAATCCTAGAATGTATTTAGAATTTCCCTGCTCTGTGGCTGAAATACACGGGGCCCCTTGACGCCTTCTCCTTTTTGCTGCACGCTATTAGTGGGCGGGGGCTAAGAAGATCGCAGTCTGGGGCGTATTGTACCAGGTACTGGAGACCGAATGATTCTTCAGTCAGTACTCGACCTGGAGTATAACTGCCATCATCCTCTAAATACTCCCACGATGGGGTTACAGTATCCAGCAGCGGGGAAGTAAATACGCACTCAGCGTCTGGCATTAGCGAGATTCCCGCGCCGAATGTTTTATTTCCTGGAATAGTCATTTTCCGAATGTTTTGACTTGTCGGAGAGAAGTGTTAAACTCTCCGCCTGGAGCTCCACTTCAATCACAGCTCGGCTTTTCCTAACCTTTAATGCGATAATGTAAATAGGAGAGGTACGGAGCTGCAGGCGTCGCGGCGAAGAAATCGGCTTTTACGGTTCGCTGTTTTTGCGCTCGCTATGCAGATTCGTCACATTTACAGATGTTCCTTTTTGTTTTTTTTTCTGATTTCAGAGCGAGCGAGAGATTGGAAGAAATTTGCATTTTCACTTCTCAAACTTTATTAAGTCTGTCTGGGGACGGCGGCGGCCGGGCTTGTAGTTTGGACGCTACGCTATTCCTTCGACCGGCCATTTCATTCTCTTGCAGAAATCCCCTTTCAGATGTTTGGATTTGCCGTAACGTTCCAGCTGCAGGGACGGGACTGTGGATCGCCAGCCGATTAAGCCTTGCGTAGTCTGTGGTACCGCCGGCGACGGGCCGACCTGGACATTGGAAAGACACAAAAAACAGTCCTGAGAGACGGCCGTGTTATCGTTTCCCAAAGGTTCTGCATTGATTGCATTCTGCAGAGGACCCTTGCTCTTTGTGCGGAAGCAGTGGTCTCTCTGCAGAGGTCTGACATACTACAAAGGTAAAGAAAAAACTGCACTTTAAGTGCTCCCTTTGTCTAGGCGGCTCATATAAAGCTGTTTTACTCCCCGCAGCAGTCAGCGTTCACCTCTCTCCCCCTACTCTCCATACATGGGATGTCCCTGGGCATCCTCATGTCTAATGCAAGTCAATGGACCTGCATTAGATGTGATGACATCAGCGCTCCTTAGACCACCAGAGCCCAGGAGAGAAGAGGCTGCGGGGACCGGTCTAGCATCCAAACGGAACTCGGATATTTGCTTCATTTGACCCCGCTAGACAAAACGGGTACTTAACCCTTGAAGTACCAGGGGAGCCCCGCTGCAAGGGGCAGTTTTTTGTTTGCCCGGAGTTCTTCTTTAAGCTGAAAGTGCAATAGGGCTCTGAAGGGGACTGTTCTGCAGCCAGCGAAGTCACATTTCCTGACCTGCGTGCTTGTACCAGATCTAAAGACAACACTTGCCCCTTCAGAAACAAGACAGCAATGGCCGCCTCCATATCCCCTGATAGGGTCACTTTCTATCTTCTATGGGGCGATTGTATGCTTTGGGCGTCGTTACCAAATTAGATGGAATTAAGATGCCGCAGGACACGTGGACCTGTCAGCGTGAACCGTTATATCTTCTCAATTCTATCTGCAGCTTCAATTCAGAGAATCATTCTAATTTATACGTCCTTCATGGAACGTGATGTTCCCAGCCGGTCACTTACTTTGATGTACTCTTCCACGGGGGTGGCGGGCCGGACCCGCAGATGTTCTGGAATGTCTAATGGCAATTTCTGATTATGTTCTTTCTCTTCATTGTCCACCTGCAGGAAATGTTTACAGTGTCATATCATTCCGCTCCGGGCCCCTTAGAGTCCATTATGGTGCCTTACAGAGCACGAGGTGTTCTGCATGTTAATGTGAATTGCGGCATTGCGTCATTGAGAATGGACCGTCAGCACTCCTTTACGGCCAAAATAACAGTCCTGACCCTTTCTTCTACGAGGCAAGGTATGTACGTTGTGGTGTGCTGCAACTCGGGCGCATTGCACAATGCTGTCATTGTAAATGTACCCTCTGGTGATGCTTTGTGACATGAGCATGTTACTGCAACACATAAGTATATCAATGGGCGGATCCAAGGAAGACGCATGCAAAACACACGTCCCCATGCTATGTCCCTTTAAGAATGCTGCTAGTACACAAAAGTACCTGTTGATCCTGACAGACGTCCAACGTCTTGTAGTGAGCTGAGCAGTGCTATTAGCCCTGCCCAGTTCTGCTGTAGTCCTGCTGACTACATAACATCCCCCCCTTCCCCATGAGACTGCTGCTGGGTGTTGCCATCTTGGATGTGGTATCAGCAGCACCAGCAGACACACAGCTGTCACTCAAGTGATAATATAATATTCCCCTTTGCTCCTCCACCAGCAGCTACATAAAAGGTTCTATATGTAGGTGAGGGGTGGGGCAGAGGAGATGGGCCAGCACAGACAGTAATAAGACAAAGGGCTATGACATACAAGGAGGGGGCTGTGCTAGGGAATTGACTCTTCCTGGACCAGTCAGATTTTCTCTCCAGTTCAGAGGCCTTTCATTTGTGGAAAAACACTATTAAAGTAAACATTTCAGATTCTTGATTTTTTGTTTAGGATGGTGACAGGGTCTCTTTAAGCCCCCCTGCGAATTGGGTGGTGGTGCTGTGTCAGGAAAAGAAGAAAAGAAGAGAATGGGGAGACGAGATGTTTACCTCCGTGAAAGGTGTGGTCAGGAATCCCCAATTCTCCGGCCACCTCTTGGCGGTCTCCACTTCCTTCTCGATGTGGGTTTTCCTAGACATGTAAAGCAGAACGTTAGACAGAACACCCCCTTCTCTGTGAAAGCCGAATTCATCCTGGATCTCAACGTCAAAAACCTTTTTATTTTTGGATGGAGTGGTGAAGGGTTACCACCCCCCCCGGTCAGGTCTGTGTCCCTGCTGGAGACATACACTATGTGTCCCGGTGATCGCTGTCACCAGAACTGAATGTGATGGGCAATTCCAACAATGTGAGTGTCCCCCGGAACAAGAAGAGAGGTGAAATCTCACATCGGGGACACCCGTTCCAGTGATAATTGTAGAGTATAGGATTTCCACTTCCTGTTGTTTCTACAGGACAGGAAATGGCAATTGTACAAGGAGTTTCCCTGTACTTTGGGGAAACTTCCACTTACTGTTGTTGCTACAGGACAGGAAGTGACATTAAATTTCCGACACGAATGGCAAGATGAAGCAGACGGGGGCTTTAACCCTTCACCACTCCACCCAAAATGAAAAATAAGGAGGTTCAGTATAAGCTGATCTCCGGGAATATTAAACATAAAACACCATCCTTGCACTGCGGCTCCCCACTGCACTGCAAGGGTTAAACGCTCATTTTTGCCTAGGGTACCCGGAAAAAGCTGTGTGACTTACCATATCCCTCTCTCCCTGGGCAGCCGGCGCTCTCCTCTTTCCTCTGACACTCCAGGTTGTGGTTGGGCCGTCCTTACCGATAGTCCGGCATCATACACCGATGTCAGAGCTGCGTCCACAGCGTCTGCGATATCATGGAGAGAAGGAAGCCTGCGGGTGCAAGGTATGACACCCTAGGCAAAAAGGAGCATTTAACTCTTGCAGTGGGGCTCCAGCTTTTTCCCCGGAGTCTAGATGCAAGTCCTTTCCTCTGATCCCTGATTGGATTGAGTTTGCAAGCAGCTTATATCCAGCAGGCTGGAAAATCGGTGATCCCTACTGCCTCCGATTCGTTCGCAATGTTCACGTGTGATCAGAATTGTACTTATGGGGCCCCTCCAGACACCCTTCTCATTCACTGTGGCCCTGTAGTAGGTGTTGGATTAGGCCGGGGTGAGGGTGCAATAATCTAGGTTGGTATTGATCAGGATCTGTGCAATGAACAGCAACAGATTTCCATCGCGCTGCTTCTCGGTGTGAAAGGGAAACCCGAGCCTTGGCAATCACTTCCTGCCTGGCTGACCTCCGCCACGGCCGCGCTTGTCTCCTGAATAATGGATGCAGGTAAATCACACCATGAGGTGTATACATGACACGCCATACATGTAGTAGAAAGGACTGTGCGTGGTCACATCCTGGACATATATGATGCTCCCAGTGCACACACCTTACATAGGCTCAATTATCAAAGCTTTAAAGAGAACCTGTCGCCAACTTCATTTCAAGGACTGGAGCCGGGCTTTAAGTACTCAGCTCTATGACTTGAGTTTGTAATTAAAGAGACCCTGTCACCCGCTTAAGTTCATTGAAAAAATCGAGTCGGGCTTTACGTACTCACCAGCGTGCCCGTAAGTTTGTAATTAAAGAGGCCCTGTCACTGGATTAGAATTGAGCATTTTAATTGTTTTCTTGCCATACATTATTTTTATTCCCTTGCAATGTGCTATGGAACTTGCTGGATAATTCGACACCAGGAGGTGTCAATTCCCTATCACAGCTCCCTCCCCTCTCCTTGTACGTCATAGTGCTCTCCTCTTCTGGGAGTGTTTAATTACTGTCTGTGCTGGCCCAGCTTTTCTGCTTCTCCCCTCCCTGACCTATGTAGCTGCTGTGGGACTGAGGAGTGAAAGGGGATACTATAGAGCAGGGGTAGGCAAACTTTAGCCCTCAAGATGTGTTGAAACTACACATCCCATAATGCATCTGTGTCTGCGAGTCGTGGCTGTCAGTTTTCCAATGCCTTATGGGACTTGTAGTTCCACAACAGCTGGACGGCCAAGCTTTGGATATTACTGCTATAGAGTGTCAGTTAAGTCTGTTGGGGCTGCTGACATCACATCCAAGATGGCGGCACCCAGCAGCAGTCTCGGGGCTTTTGGATGTCTACACAAGGGAGACTCTCTTACAGGTAAATAACATCCATCAAATACATGAAATGCTCATATAATCTTACGGGAAGATTGTTGTTGAAATGAACGTTCTGGTGACAGGTTCTCTTTACCGCAAGAATAAGGATCTGTATTGTGGTCATGTGACTATAATGATCAAATCTCACTGAACCCACCTAAAAATAACTGTCACTTTCCTGAACAAACTAATCCTCATCCCGGTGGGTCGGCTTTGTGAATTGAGCCAATGTTGCGGTATATCAGGGGTGGGCAACCTCGGCACTCCAGCTGTGGGGAAACTACAAATCCCGTCATGCCTGTGAAGGTCACTCTTGCAATGCCTCATGGGACTTGTAGTTCTACAACAGCTGGAGGGCCGAGATTGCCTACATCTGCATTACATGCATTTGCAAACTTGCAGTCAGGTTCATGAGCTATATATATGTGTATATGTGTATATACAGGCTCATTTTGCACATTGCGGTCCCACAAACGTAGACGGAGCCTATGCAGGACATACATATATGATTCTATACACACGCCTATGTATAAGTACACATGTAAGACATGCACTGTGCAAACAATTGTGCGCACCCTGTACACACACCACTCCCCGGGACAAATCTATATGTATATATACAATATACCAGACATACGCCTGCACTACATACACATGCCACAGCTCCAGGAATATGGCTCAGAGTTACCCTTTAAGCAGAGGGGAAATCCATATGTAACAGGCACATATAGATTTGTAGCCTTTGCGACCTCCCCGCCCCCCCGGTCCCCCGCCGGCCCTCATATAACGTGCAGGGATAGGATGACGCAGAGCGGACGGGGTTTACCAGATCATGTCCTGCGCTACGAAGTAGGCAGCCACAGGCCTTTCCAGGCTCTAGTTAGAGAATACAATATAGACATTCATTATGGAACCATCTCTCGGTTACCAAGCAGGTCTGAGCAGCTCTGTAGCCTCCAGGAGAACTACAAGTTCCAGCAGGGCCAGCTAGGGCATGCACATGTTTGCCAGGGGAATATTATGGGGGTAATATCTCTGCTTATAGGTGCATCATGGGAAATCATGGGGGCAATGCTCCTACCTACAGGTGCATCATGGGAAATCATGGGGGCAATGCTCCTACCTACAGGTGCATCATGGGAAATCATGGGGGCAATGCTCCTACCTACAGGTGCATCATGGGAAATCATGGGGGCAATGCTCCTACCTACAGGTGCATCATGGGAAATCATGGGGGCAATGCTCCTACCTACAGGTGCATCATGGGAAATCATGGGGGTAATGCTCCTGCCTACAGGTGCATCATGGGAAATCCAAATCTATATTCACCTTCCAGAACAGCGAATATTATGGGAATCCGGAGTAGATGCCGCAATGGTTTGGATGGTTAGTTTCATGCACCCCTTATCACACAGGGAAAAGCCAGTGACCCCCTTTTCAGCGCCGCGATCCCTCCGCTCAGAATATACCGCCTTTCCGGACTGACGGGAGCAGAATTTTGATATATATTTATAGCTGAGACACATCCTGCTTCTTCTATTATATGGGTACAATGTCCCTGAAAAAAAAGAAAATATCTTCCTTGCGCTTAATGTGGAAATTAAAAAGCACAAAGGCAGGGGGCCTCCGACTCCTTAATAGTCTGCACATTCTCCTCCAAAAATACATTACAGCCGCACAATAGTTCTCTACGCGGGAACGTTTTCCGGGATGATTTGAAACGGATAAAAAAAAATGCGTTCCAGGTTTTAATTTTATGCATAGAGAATTAATGATGAGAACCCCTCGGAGACTCGCTGTCAGCTTAACATATTCACAATGATTTAAAACACAGATGTTATCACCGCTCAAACCTTCCACTGCTCTTTTATTATTTGTACCGGGATGTCAGGAGATAGATCTCTGAGCCAAGACAAAGAGGTTCTGTGCCGGGAGGAAGTTCTTCTTCTCCAGCCACTGCAGATAAGGAAGGACCCCGGCCAGCCACATGTACAACTTTCATTTACTCTCACCTGTGTTTTCATCTCTTCTCTCGCCCTCTCCTCTTTCCCTTTACATTCCTCTCCTCTACCTTCTCCCCTCCCTTCTTCTCCCACCTGTCCTCTCCTCCCACCTGTCCTCTCCTCCCACCTGTCCTTTCCTTCTCCACTCTTCTTCTCTCCTCCCTTCTCATCTCACCTGTCCTTTCCTTCTCCACTCTTCTTCTCTCCTCCCCTTCTCCTCCCCTTCTCCTCTCGACTGTCCTCTCCTTCTCCCCTCCCACCTGTCCTCTCCTTCTCCACTCTTCTTCTCTCCTCCCCTTCTCCTCTCGACTGTCCTCTCCTTCTCCCCTCCCACCTGTCCTCTCCTTCTCCACTCTTCTTCTCTCCTCCCCTTCTCCTCTCGACTGTCCTCTCCTTCTCCCCTCCCACCTGTCCTCTCCTTCTCCACTCTTCTTCTCTCCTCCCCTTCTCCTCTCGACTGTCCTCTCCTTCTCCCCTCCCACCTGTCCTCTCCTTCTCCACTCTTCTTCTCTCCTCCCCTTCTCCTCTCGACTGTCCTCTCCTTCTCCCCTCCCACCTGTCCTCTCCTTCTCCACTCTTCTTCTCTCCTCCCCTTCTCCTCTCGACTGTCCTCTCCTTCTCCCCTCCCACCTGTCCTCTCCTTCTCCACTCTTCTTCTCTCCTCCCCTTCTCCTCTCGACTGTCCTCTCCTTCTCCCCTCCCACCTGTCCTCTCCTTCTCCACTCTTCTTCTCTCCTCCCCTTCTCCTCTCGACTGTCCTCTCCTTCTCCCCTCCCACCTGTCCTCTCCTTCTCCACTCTTCTTCTCTCCTCCCCTTCTCCTCTCGACTGTCCTCTCCTTCTCCCCTCCCACCTGTCCTCTCCTTCTCCACTCTTCTTCTCTCCTCCCCTTCTCCTCTCGACTGTCCTCTCCTTCTCCCCTCCCACCTGTCCTCTCCTTCTCCACTCTTCTTCTCTCCTCCCCTTCTCCTCTCGACTGTCCTCTCCTTCTCCCCTCCCACCTGTCCTCTCCTTCTCCACTCTTCTTCTCTCCTCCCCTTCTCCTCTCGACTGTCCTCTCCTTCTCCCCTCCCACCTGTCCTCTCCTTCTCCACTCTTCTTCTCTCCTCCCCTTCTCCTCTCGACTGTCCTCTCCTTCTCCCCTCCCACCTGTCCTCTCCTTCTCCACTCTTCTTCTCTCCTCCCCTTCTCCTCTCGACTGTCCTCTCCTTCTCCCCTCCCACCTGTCCTCTCCTTCTCCACTCTTCTTCTCTCCTCCCCTTCTCCTCTCGACTGTCCTCTCCTTCTCCCCTCCCACCTGTCCTCTCCTTCTCCACTCTTCTTCTCTCCTCCCCTTCTCCTCTCGACTGTCCTCTCCTTCTCCCCTCCCACCTGTCCTCTCCTTCTCCACTCTTCTTCTCTCCTCCCCTTCTCCTCTCGACTGTCCTCTCCTTCTCCCCTCCCACCTGTCCTCTCCTTCTCCACTCTTCTTCTCTCCTCCCCTTCTCCTCTCGACTGTCCTCTCCTTCTCCCCTCCCACCTGTCCTCTCCTTCTCCACTCTTCTTCTCTCCTCCCCTTCTCCTCTCGACTGTCCTCTCCTTCTCCCCTCCCACCTGTCCTCTCCTTCTCCACTCTTCTTCTCTCCTCCCCTTCTCCTCTCGACTGTCCTCTCCTTCTCCCCTCCCACCTGTCCTCTCCTTCTCCACTCTTCTTCTCTCCTCCCCTTCTCCTCTCGACTGTCCTCTCCTTCTCCCCTCCCACCTGTCCTCTCCTTCTCCACTCTTCTTCTCTCCTCCCCTTCTCCTCTCGACTGTCCTCTCCTTCTCCCCTCCCACCTGTCCTCTCCTTCTCCACTCTTCTTCTCTCCTCCCCTTCTCCTCTCGACTGTCCTCTCCTTCTCCCCTCCCACCTGTCCTCTCCTTCTCCACTCTTCTTCTCTCCTCCCCTTCTCCTCTCGACTGTCCTCTCCTTCTCCCCTCCCACCTGTCCTCTCCTTCTCCACTCTTCTTCTCTCCTCCCCTTCTCCTCTCGACTGTCCTCTCCTTCTCCCCTCCCACCTGTCCTCTCCTTCTCCACTCTTCTTCTCTCCTCCCCTTCTCCTCTCGACTGTCCTCTCCTTCTCCCCTCCCACCTGTCCTCTCCTTCTCCCCTCTTCTTCTCTCCTCCCCTTCTCCTCTCACCTGTCCTCTCCTTCTCCCCTTCCCACCTGTCCTCTCCTTCTCCACTCTTCTCCTCTCCTCCCTTCTCCTCTCCTCCCTTCTCCTCTCACCTGTCCTCTCCTTCTCCCCTGTCCTCTCCTTCTCCCCTTCCCACCTGTCCTCTCCTTATCACCTGCCCTTTCCTCCCTTGTCCTCTCCTTCTCCCCTCTACCTTCCTCTGCTATCCCCCTTCCTCACTTCCCCACTCTTCCCTCTCCCTTCCCTCCCTTTTCCACTCCAGTCCTCTACTTTCTTCAACTCCTCTCCTCTCCCCTCTTTCTTTTCCACTCCAGTCTTCTCCTTGCCTCCACTGTCTTTCCCTCTCTACACTTCTCTTCTCTGCTTTCTCCTCTCCAGTCTTCTACTTGCCGCTAATCTCTTTCCCCCCTCCCCACACTTCTCCTTTCCTTTCCTCTCTTCCCTTCTTTTCCTTTCTCTTCCCTTCCTTTCCCTTCTTTCCTTCCCTAGTCTCTGTTCTCTTCTCATTGTCTCTTCTCTTCCCTCCTCTTTTTTTCTCTCCTCCTTTGCCCTCTCCTCTCTTTCCCCTCTGTTTTCTCTATTATTCTGTATTATAATACTCAGTTTGAGATTCTTTGTTACGTCTTACCCATGTCTCTTGCAAATTATAACGTCCCATCATCCCCTACCATATATTATATATATTCAATTTCCATTATTCCAGTGGCTGAGAGTACCCACATTGGCTGCTAAAAAGGAGGTGGCAGAGACCAGGGATGACTGACACAGTTACATTTGCAGCTCGCAGAGTTCAGGCGGATTGCTAGGTATAAGCAGCCGTATGTTATGTAGCAGATATGAACGGTCTCTTCTGCTTCTTTACTCCTTCTCTTGCTTTGCAGGTTCTGCCCTTTTAGTAGCCTCCTCCAGCTGGAGCTACCAAGGCAGCCGCCTCTTCTGCCTTTCTTTCGGCCCGGGGTGGTGTTTTGTAGTCTAGCAGAGGGAATCCTGGCAGGGCTGATAACACTGCCTGGGATTTCAGTGCAGTGACAGAGACGGACTGCTGATGTTATTTCTCTTGTTCCATTTTGCCCAGACAAACATTTAATGGCAATGATCTGTAAAACGCGCCCTAAATAAAACACCCGATAACGCTACAGGCCGAGGAGGATATTGTACATTCTAAGTATTGGCATTTTTATGTGAGCGATCGGAAACACCTAAATATGCCGGACGTCTGGAAGCTATTGGCTATAAAAGAGTCATTTGGTAATCTGGAAGCTTTTTTATGAAGCCGGGATCTGTACGGGTCTCGGAATGGGCGATTATAGGGCACAGCTGGGGACGGGTAAGGGATGGCGATCAATATGTGCAATGTCCATAAGGAGGGGCTCTGCTTCAAGCCAATTACATTCATTTCAAGTCTTGCTATGGGCGGAATCCTCTCATTGTGAGACGCCAATTATTGTTTATGTCCCCCCAAACTATATAGCTGTAACCCCAAGAGAGTGACCATTGTATGCTGAGGCTGCACTTGTAGCCCTCGCAGCCTCAAGCCGAAGTCACCTGCCACCCCCAGTGCATGACCGTCCATTGCCCTCAACAGGTGATTGGTTTATTAATGATTCGATATAGAGACCCCCCACAGATCAATCATTCTAACTCATTAGTACAAGCCATTTGCCGACCGATCACCAAAATGCAAATCTACATCCAGCCAAGACTCTTTTTCCTTCTCAGCCACCATAGGGCATTTGCACAACAGCAGATTGAAGAAAGGTTAGCACTCCATGTAAGATATCACCCTTTTACTGCAGACCGCAATCACCGACGCGCGTTTCAGAGGCAGTCCAGAGGCGTTCCAGAGGCAGTTTATACCATAAGTCACCAGCACTGGACACATCGATGGACTGCATCTGACCCGGCGCCATCCGTGTTGTCACTTCAAGAACCAAACCTCTGTGAAGCTCTATATGCCGTATGGAGTGCAGGTGACTTTTTTAATATTGATTGCACGTTTCAGAGGCACGCAGTTCCTCCGACGCACAGGCGTATGCGCATGCTTGTCAGAGTTATCCTTTAGCTCTCCGATTTTTTTAGAACTCGAAGCAGAACGGCCGCCCGGTAAACGAGTTTCGTCTTCGCGATTTATAATATTCAAGGCGATAATCATTTTTCTGAGAGCGTCTGGCCCGTTGATGGGCGCTCGGAGAAGGTTTTTTTTTGTATCTGGCCGAATGAGGCGTATTAGGAAATGAAAGGTTCAGTCATAGGCACCGTACCCTGGTCTAGAGGTGCACACAGCATGGCTATGGTGGCTCGCAGCACCGATTGACTGGGGGCCATTCGTCTGCCATGTCATGTCTACTGGTCCCTTTAGGCTACCAGTGCCGATTGGTCCCCAGCAGTGCCGGTCGTGCCGGTCTACACCAACCCCCTCCATCGACATTAACTTTGCTGGATCAGCAGATCCAACCTTGCAAGTGTTTGGCATGCTCGGGGGTTGTCTCTGCACCTCCATCCATCTCCTGATGACGTTTATATGTAATGTTTATGACACGTTTCCTTTTAGACGTGGGCCCGGTCTTTAGAGCATGCACAAGATCTACTCTTCTGGTAACCGTGATATAATCCATTTGGGATGACGTAGGTTCCTAAACTGGCCAAACACAGATGAAACTTCGTCCTATTCCTGCCAATATTTGATCCGTGGGTGGCAATTTTTATCGACTTTTCTTGCAGGGGCCGGATGGAAAATTGTTGACTGAACAGGGACTGCAGCCAATCAGAACAAACTGTTCGTGGTTCACTATTGTTCTTGATATTTAACAATCTCCCATGCTGCTTAGCAAGTCTTTCCCCCCATAGTAGTGATATTTCCCATCTACATGGACATTACAAAGCCAGGCAGAGGGGTCATTCCCCCCATAGTAGTGTGATTCTCCATCTACGTGGTCATTATAGAGCCAGGCAGAGGGGTCATTCCCCCCATAGTAGTGTGATTCTCCATCTACGTGGTCATTATAGAGCCAGGCAGAGGGGTCATTCCCCCCATAGTAGTGTGATTCTCCATCCACGTGGTCATTATAGAGCCAGGCAGAGGGGTCATTCCCCCATAGTAGTGTCATTCTCCATCCACGTGGTCCTAATAGAGCCAGGCAGAGGGGTCATTCCCCCCATAGTAGTGTGATTCTCCATCCACGTGGTCATTATAGAGCCAGGCAGAGGGGTCATTCCTCCCATAGTGTGATTCTCCATCTACGTGGTCATTATAGAGCCAGGCAGAGGGGTCATTCCTCCCATAGTGTGATTCTCCATCTACGTGGTCATTATAGAGCCAGGCAGAGGGGTCATTCCTCCCATAGTGTGATTCTCCATCTACGTGGTCATTATAGAGCCAGGCAGAGGGGTCATTCCTCCCATAGTGTGATTCTCCATCTACGTGGTCATTATAGAGCCAGGCAGAGGGGTCATTCCTCCCATAGTGTGATTCTCCATCTACGTGGTCATTATAGAGCCAGGCAGAGGGGTCATTCCTCCCATAGTGTGATTCTCCATCTACGTGGTCATTATAGAGCCAGGCAGAGGGGTCATTCCTCCCATAGTGTGATTCTCCATCTACGTGGTCATTATAGAGCCAGGCAGAGGGGTCATTCCTCCCATAGTGTGATTCTCCATCTACGTGGTCATTATAGAGCCAGGCAGAGGGGTCATTCCTCCCATAGTGTGATTCTCCATCTACGTGGTCATTATAGAGCCAGGCAGAGGGGTCATTCCTCCCATAGTGTGATTCTCCATCTACGTGGTCATTATAGAGCCAGGCAGAGGGGTCATTCCTCCCATAGTGTGATTCTCCATCTACGTGGTCATTATAGAGCCAGGCAGAGGGGTCATTCCTCCCATAGTGTGATTCTCCATCTACGTGGTCATTATAGAGCCAGGCAGAGGGGTCATTCCTCCCATAGTGTGATTCTCCATCTACGTGGTCATTATAGAGCCAGGCAGAGGGGTCATTCCTCCCATAGTGTGATTCTCCATCTACGTGGTCATTATAGAGCCAGGCAGAGGGGTCATTCCTCCCATAGTGTGATTCTCCATCTACGTGGTCATTATAGAGCCAGGCAGAGGGGTCATTCCTCCCATAGTGTGATTCTCCATCTACGTGGTCATTATAGAGCCAGGCAGAGGGGTCATTCCTCCCATAGTGTGATTCTCCATCTACGTGGTCATTATAGAGCCAGGCAGAGGGGTCATTCCTCCCATAGTGTGATTCTCCATCTACGTGGTCATTATAGAGCCAGGCAGAGGGGTCATTCCTCCCATAGTGTGATTCTCCATCTACGTGGTCATTATAGAGCCAGGCAGAGGGGTCATTCCTCCCATAGTGTGATTCTCCATCTACGTGGTCATTATAGAGCCAGGCAGAGGGGTCATTCCTCCCATAGTGTGATTCTCCATCTACGTGGTCATTATAGAGCCAGGCAGAGGGGTCATTCCTCCCATAGTGTGATTCTCCATCTACGTGGTCATTATAGAGCCAGGCAGAGGGGTCATTCCTCCCATAGTGTGATTCTCCATCTACGTGGTCATTATAGAGCCAGGCAGAGGGGTCATTCCTCCCATAGTGTGATTCTCCATCTACGTGGTCATTATAGAGCCAGGCAGAGGGGTCATTCCTCCCATAGTGTGATTCTCCATCTACGTGGTCATTATAGAGCCAGGCAGAGGGGTCATTCCTCCCATAGTGTGATTCTCCATCTACGTGGTCATTATAGAGCCAGGCAGAGGGGTCATTCCTCCCATAGTGTGATTCTCCATCTACGTGGTCATTATAGAGCCAGGCAGAGGGGTCATTCCTCCCATAGTGTGATTCTCCATCTACGTGGTCATTATAGAGCCAGGCAGAGGGGTCATTCCTCCCATAGTGTGATTCTCCATCTACGTGGTCATTATAGAGCCAGGCAGAGGGGTCATTCCTCCCATAGTGTGATTCTCCATCTACGTGGTCATTATAGAGCCAGGCAGAGGGGTCATTCCTCCCATAGTGTGATTCTCCATCTACGTGGTCATTATAGAGCCAGGCAGAGGGGTCATTCCTCCCATAGTGTGATTCTCCATCTACGTGGTCATTATAGAGCCAGGCAGAGGGGTCATTCCTCCCATAGTGTGATTCTCCATCTACGTGGTCATTATAGAGCCAGGCAGAGGGGTCATTCCTCCCATAGTGTGATTCTCCATCTACGTGGTCATTATAGAGCCAGGCAGAGGGGTCATTCCTCCCATAGTGTGATTCTCCATCTACGTGGTCATTATAGAGCCAGGCAGAGGGGTCATTCCTCCCATAGTGTGATTCTCCATCTACGTGGTCATTATAGAGCCAGGCAGAGGGGTCATTCCTCCCATAGTGTGATTCTCCATCTACGTGGTCATTATAGAGCCAGGCAGAGGGGTCATTCCTCCCATAGTAGTGTGATTCTCCATCCACGTGGTCATTATAGAGCCAGGCAGAGGGGTCATTCCCCCCATAGTAGTGTGATTCTCCATCCATGTGGTCATTATAGAGCCAGGCAGAGGGGTCATTCCCCCCATAGTAGTGAGCGTTGTCACACTATAACAGGAAGTGTCTGGACCTCCATGGCAGGATTTCCAGGTTCATATTGAGTGTACGTTTGTATTTATTTGGGGTTGCCAACGGAGACCTCCCACTGGCAGCTGATCTCAGGAGCGCCTCCGTCTGATCCAGACATAGGAGAGGGTAAGGTCAGGTGATCTGCTGATGACTTTAGCCGCCTCCCTCTGTGGATCTGATGATGGTTTTGGCGTTCTGTTGAGCCTGCATTGTGTGACAGGTCCACTTTAAGCTTTATTCCCCATTGCAGATCGGCTGCCGGATATGTGACGCAGCCGCCTCAGCGTTCTGGGACTCAGCATCTGTTTAAGGTGATTCCCGCTAATTAGATCACACTCTGTGCCTGGCCCGGGGCGAGCGCACACAGGCGTGCTGCCGGGATGTCTCTTCTGCTCGCCGGGTTTTCTGACTCAGCAGCAATGAGCCACGTTTGTCATTTCACGACCCGCAAAACCCAATCTTATGTGACATCCACATGATGCCGAATGTCACCCTGCCGGTACTTCCTGTATGAGGTCATCAATGGTGCTGTGTGAATCTGTCCCTGGGCTCGGGGAATCTGTCCCTGGGCTCGGAGAATCTGTCCCTGGGCTCGGGGAATCTGTCCCTGGGCTCGGGGAATCTGTCCCTGGGCTCAAGAGATTGGTCAAGGGTCAGCAAATCTTGCCCCCCCTCCCCTCCAGACAAAACAAACATTTTAAGTAACAAAAAAAAATAATAATTTTGGAAATTAAAACGTAATAATAAAAAAAAAGCAAAGTGTTAGAGGAACGATTGAAGGGGACGCGCCGCGTTTTTGTCCTTTTTTTTTTTAAACCTTTTAATTACTATGGTCAGGTCTAAATATGTCTCCTGTAGGGGTATATGTCTTTTGCACAGAAATATTTTGCAGTCTTCTATACACGCACCAGGTGGAGCCTCAGTCTCCCTTGGCACTTCTTTCCTTGTCTTCATAGCTCCTCCTCCTCCTCTGCACAGCTGTCTGAAGTTTCAATCAGAGACAGCACACCTGAAAGGAGATACCTTTTGCTGTGCTGGTTAGCTAACCCATCGTACTTTGGGAATCCTTTGTCATGTATGAAATGTTTATTTGTAAAACTGAGATTGTGTATGTATATATGTGTGTGTATGTATGTGTGTATATAAGTGTGTGTATGTATGTGTGTGTATGTATGTGTGTGTGTAAGTGTATATGTGTGTGTAAGTGTATATGTTTGTATGTATGTATATATATATATATACAGGTGAAACTCGAATTAGAATACCGTGCAAAGTTCATTTATTTCACTAATGCAACTTATGCGGTGAAACTAATATATGAGAGAGACACATTACATGCAAAGCAAGATAGTTCAAGCCGTGATTTGTCATCATTGTGATGATTATGGCTTACAGCTCATGAAAACCCCAAGAACCCCAAATCCACAACCTCAGAAAAGTAGATTATTACATGCAATCAATAAAACAAGGATTGTACATAGAACAATATCGGACCTCTGAAAAGTACAAGCATGCATATGTACTCAGTACTTGGTTTGGGCCCCTTTTGCAGCACTTACTGCAATTACTTTTGCACGATATTCTAATTATTCGAGTTTCACCTGTGTATATGTATAGATGTGTGTGTATATGTTTGTATGTATGTGTAATATGTGTGTGTATATGTTTATATGTGTGTGTATGTATATATGTATGTGTGTGTATATATGTGTGTGTATGTATGTTTATATGTCTGTATGTGTGTGTGTGTGTGTGTATATGTGTATATGTTTGTGTGTGTGTGTGTATACTTTATATTTATAAAACACACACACAGTATACATATCTCTTAGTACATTGGCCAGTGATGTCCTGGTGGGGGGAAGTTATCTGGGATGGACTTCCTGTCCGTCCTGCGGGGATCTCGTGCGTCTCGCTGGGTTTGATGTTTGGAACTTTTTGCTTTTCCCGGTACAACGCGTGGAATCCTTCCCATCGGCGGCCTATATGGGCCACTTTAAAAGGACT